ATCCTTTCTTGCAGGCTCATGTGAGCAGCGATGCCGAAAGTGCAGTGGCCAGCTGCCACTGCACTTTGCACAACCGAACGACCATGTCTGGCGGCACTCCGCCTCTGGTTTGACTCTCAGTTATAACGATTAGCTGGTAGTTCCTATCGCTTATGGCCATGGGCAAACCATGCGCGACGTGCCTAGGGCCCTGCTATGATGCGCGGCATTGGTTGCATTGCGTTTCTTTCAGACTTACGCGAAGCGGCCATGCAACGTATCTCCTGCGGAAGGGGAACCGATCCAAGACTATCGCTAGTGCATCATGTCGGTCACTCCTGAGCAATTGGCTCGGATGCCAAGGCCTTTCAACTTTCCGCGCGCTGCCCATTGAAATCACGCGGCAAAAGGCGGCGCGGCAAGCTACCCCCGGATGGCATTGTCCAAATTAGCTTAAACGACGTATGAAACGGCCATCATTTCTGACATTTACAAGGGAATACCAACATGGTGAACGTGGAAGGCAAGGTGAGGCCCGCGCAAGTCATGGTGATTCCCTCCCCCGAAATTCCACCCATTGAGTTCCTCTGACACAACCTGCGGAGCAGCCATCACAAATTGCCCAAGGGCGAGAGGTGCTTCGACGTCTGCGTCAGATCAACACTTTGCTAGAAAGCATAAAGGCCAGGCTGAAGTCACCAATCAACCGACTGTGGGTCGCTAAAGAAGGCAGCTCATGAAAAGGAGAGCCGGTCTGGGGGCCAAGCAAACCTAAGGCTGTGCAACTTCATGGCAGCCCCTTCTCAACATGCCAGCCCCTTGAACCCAAAGACGCGCCCTGCCCAATCATGAGCCCGCGTACACAATACCAAACTTTTCTCTTGGCGCTTGCAGAAGCAATCTTTTGATACTGCACACTCCCTTCTTGCCAGCATGCCAATTTCCTTGAGCAGCCGTGCCATCTGGTTCTCACACCAATGGAATAATCGGACTCGTGGAGTGTGAACATGCGACAAGGTGCGGCGTGTTTTGCTGGAGTCTGCCGCACTTTTCCGGGTGCTAAAATTCACCCGAGACAATGATTTCTCAAGTGGGTACGGCCCGGGTCAAAATTAAGCCACCAGGGGACCGCAGGTCTTAGTCCGGGCACCTATGTTACCCGGATTCCATTCCGGGTACCTATTTTTGACCCACATGCAAGTGCTGTTTCACTTCCAATTGCCCCGCTGTGCATGCGATGCCGAGAGTGCCGCCGGTACTCATCGGTGCCAAAGGCAAGGAGATAAGTCATCCGTGCTCCGCTTGACTTGAACTACAGGGCATCCAGTTTGAAGCGCAACAAAAAGAACGTTTGCAAAACGTTTTGGGGGAATGCGAATCCTTGTATCTTACATGCGAATTATTGTACTCAACGTGATTTACATCGAACACCTTCCCTACAGCCCATCACTCCATGCCTTTGAACACCCCGGCTTCTGGCAATGGACTTGCCTCAGAAGGCTTCGACAAATCAAGGAGTACTCGTGATTTCAAGGTAAGCGCTTCTGGTACGTATCAAATCAATTTTGGAAGGACATGCAACTCAACAAGTGAACTTTCAATTTGCAGCCTGCTTTGCCAAGATACGGCTACCTCAGCAAGCTTGCTTTGGAAACATAATCGTTTGAGAGTTCGCTGATAGCGTTGAAGGTCTCTTCAACTTCGTTCTTGCAACATCTATCAGTTCGCAGAACTTTGCCTCACGCGCTCCTTTGCTGCTTCGGTGTTCGCTAGTCTTTGGCAGCCAAAGCCGCACAAAGCTCGAGCCGCAGGCAGCTTCCGAGTATAAAGGAGCTTAAATCCTGTCCAAGCCTCCAAGCCGTCAACCGGTGAAACGCAGCAATCGGCTCATGGCAAGCCCCAGCGCTGAAGAGTTGTGCCCCGGCGACGTCTCCGGGGAAGTCTCATGCGCAAGACATTCCCAATCCCAAGCGAGCAGAAGAGGGTGGGGAACACACAAACATCTCCCGTTCTACTTCACGCATAAAGTCAGATGGTCCTTGAATGTCTTGCAAAACATTAACCGCTTGCCACAAACACCGCTGTTTTGCCAAGTGCATCTCAGGGAGAGACTGGCATATACGTGCAAGCTGGCTGTATCAAGATTTGAACTTTCACAACGCGTGAAAGGCAACTCTGCTATAAGTGCAAGGAGCAAGCTGCTCGAGTGAGCCTTCCTAGGCAACAAATCTCATTGACCTTGGAATGGGTTTGTTTCGAACATCTTTAGCCATGGGAAAGAGTCGGAAAGCTGATGTCCCAGGACCTGTCCCAGACGCATCCCAGGACGCGGTTGCACTTTGTGCCACAAAACTCTCTCCTATCCTCGTAAGCCCCTTGCTGGAGGTCTGCTACGGTGATGACTTCTGGAGAGGCTTTCCATACATGGCAATCTGAGATGGTTTGTCAAGTAGAGGTTTGCTTGTTGCATTGTTCTGTCGGTGGCAGTAGACGGCACCATCTTAAATCATGTCAGAGTAGCTCGGACAAGTAAGGGCAAGGGAATGCCCTTCTAGTAATTGCAATGCGATTTCGCGTGTAACTCCTTGCGCCCATCAGCGATTTGTGTGCACAATTATCTCTGCCCAGCCCTGGATGTCAGAAAGTCTAAGATTTCTGCAGGAAATGGCCACTGGAGCCAAACACCCATCCCATGGAACTCAGCTGCGCCTCACTTCACTCACTCACTGAGCATTGGTTGCTTGGCCAGAACTAAAGGCGCAAAAAATCACAGTGCAAGGGCACGCTCATGTCCAGATATGCTGCGGCTATGCCGCTGCAAAAGAGTGCTGGACTATGCGGTCGGACGCAATTGATGTGACAAACATTTGCAGCTTCTGATCTTCGGCCACTGCAGGCATCCGGCCGTTTGTTCGAAGGTGTTGGCACATTCACCAAGCAGTTTCAACTCAGGCAGACTCAACTGAGGATGGGTCACCAATTTGCAGAGAGTCTGCGAGTCGAAGCGGCAATTCACAGAATCGCTTGTCGGAATACCTGAGATCAACCTTGTCAAGCAGGACTCAAGCTACTTGGCCTCCAGGATTGGAACCATGCACTGCTCCGGCAGGAGGAACGTCAAGCCTGGTCACGAACAGACTCACCCCTGAAGGGGGTGACAACGTTCTGATCAAAACAGAAAAGCGAAACACATGAAGACACAATGTCAGCATCATTTGCGCACAAGCTGAACGTGATGGGGTCCTCGCATCCGCGGATCTTGCTTGCAGAAAATGTACTTCAGTTTAGGAAGGGTCAGTTACAATTGAACCACTTGTGCCAGCATGTTCAAAAGGCGATGCGCCATGCTTTGTTGAAGCGAGTGGCTGAGAGAGCGATTTATCAAACGTAACACTCACACATAGACAACTTGTCAGCCTTGAACCGATCCCAGTGATTGTCGCCGCCCCCTGAATGGTGGTTTTCTTTTTGGTGTGACCTGAAAAGGGTAGCCTCAACACACACACAACTGTCAACTTGAGCCAAGACTTGGAGCTTGGAAGCTTGAAACCAGTGGGTAGAAACAAAACCCTGTGTCCTGATTACGATCAGTGAAAAACCAATGCAACAACTTCTAGCAGTTGAAACAAACAGCCACACCTTGTGTGCGCCTAAGGTGCCATGCCACCAATGCGAAACTGATACACTGCCGCTAAGATGCGACGCATTCACCTAGGATTCCGCGATCCGCGTCCATTGCCATCGGCGCTCTGGCGAGGTGACAAGATGAGTCCAGTGACATGTTGGAAGCTGACCACGGTTGGCTGAAGTTTTGCCGAAAGGACACCTGTTATTAGGGTGTTTGCTTTAAAGGCTTCTTCATTGCACAGCTTCATTCGAACACTTGGCAGCTTCAGGCGGATTCAAGCGTAGAATTCTGCACCTGTCCCGACTTGTGGCACCTTGTCCCCTGGAGGAACAACTAGAACACTTCCTGCAAAGACCCGTTCCTCTGCAATATGATGTGACGTCAGACAAGCTCCTTGAAACGTTTCCCTGCTTTATCTTCGACCTAGGTTGCTATTGAGTGACTCTGGCTTTGGCTCAACAGGTGCTATGTAACGCCACCCGCCAATGTAGGTCTGTTTCAAAGCAAAAAAAATAAGTACCGATCTGACCCTTTGTGAAACTTCTCCTGTGGAGCCATACGCATATATACAGACATGTATCTATACGTATATTACAACATATGTTATACGGATAGATACAAATGTGTTCCAAACACCCTTGGCTTTATAAGCCTTCGATTCGTCGATGGCACAGTACTTCTCAATGTTCAATGATGGAAACAGCCAAGAACTGTCCCATGGTCGTCTCAACAGTGATTTTCAACACAAGAAGAAACCCTCTGTCTAAATGGTTAAGGAAGACCAAAAGGCAACGAAACATAAAAAAAAATGTCGCCGAACACCCATCAAATATCTGGCTGGCTTGCTTGACCCAAACAAAACAATGGTAAACCAAGCGTTTGGCGCTATTTGCGGAAACAAGCGTCTGGGCATATGAATAATTCACCAACCCGGAATACCGGACTCATGATGAGTGAGGCGCAAACCCTCTTGTGAGGTATACTTGCCCGGAATCCCCAGCCCCAATCAGACAAAGCTGGGGCACCGTCTCCGCACACTATTTCCTTGTATGCACAAAGGAATGTATGGGGCAGGATTTTGGAGGGTATGCCACCATCTTCTATATCATATTTGGCGGAAGGAGATTCTTTTACCATTGGCTCCTTCATGGTTCCCCTTTTGGTCAAGGGGGCCATGGTGGGGTTTCAGGTTTTGCTGGCTTGTCTCCTTCCGACCCAAAACAGTTACACTCTCTGCATGACTCAACTCCGCCTTCCTTCCAGGCCCTCCTTCGTGAAACGCCCGGCATCCTTTGACGCAAGGCCGACGTCAGTGTCGCGGGGAAGCGAAACTGGGTCCAGTCAACAGCCCAAATGGTCAATGCGAAGGGCGTCCCTGGTTTAGGATCCTGAACCCAAAAGGGGCCTGACTCGAATCCAGTTCAACGGAGGGCCCCCTAGGGGGACTGCCCGCTTTGCCAGATCCGCCACCGAAAGCGGCTCACATCTCTGGTCGTGGCAGCGGCCTCTCGAGCCACAAATTCCAAGCGTGGCCTTTTGCGGACCTTTTGGCGGGTTGCCAAAGGAAACCAAAGAGAAACCAAAGAGAAACCAAAGGAAACCAAGGAAAAGGAAGGAAACGAAATGCTTAAACCAAACACGAGAAGTCCCATGGAACCCGATCATTTTTTAGTTGTGGCTCAGGGCGCCCGCCAAACTCAGCTTCCGTCGAATTGGTGCTTTGGTTTGGTGGCTTGGTGGTTCAGGAGGGATTTCCCTCCTAACCCTCCACAACCAAGGGGTTCAAATCTCCAAACCGCGAATCCAAACCACCAATTGGGGATTACTTGATATTAGGCTCAAGTTGCAGCAGGAATTGCTTGCAAAAGCATTTCGCAAAGGCAGCGAACAAGGCAACCAAACTCCCGCTTAACATGGTGCATGGGGCACGGCAGAAGCTCTGAGATGTTTGATGAGCTGACAGGCACATGCAAAGCGCTGACCGGTTTCAAACAGCGCCTCTGCCTGTGCAAGCGCATCAGTTCACAAGCGATGTGTGCGCAACGAAGGTGGAAAATCCTTCACTCAGTATCTAAGCTGTTCCCTGGCCCACACCTCTCCACGAACTCCACGATGCTTTTGAACACCTGGCAGCTCCAACATCCATGGTTCCAAGATGGAACCCCAAAATCAAAAGTGGCGGTTGACCTTTCGATTTCCTGAAATTAAAAAAAGGCACCCGTGAACAAAACAAAGACCATGGACCATTTCTGACATTCGCTTCTCAAAGCTTTGACAGCTGTTTTGAGCCAAGTGATCTGAGTGTGTTACTAAACCACCACACCTAAACATACTGCCACAGGTACATCTTGATGCCCCCGCAGCCACTTGAGCGAGCGAGTGCTCGTAAGCAGGTGCCTATCATTTGGCACGCGCTTGTGTTTGTGCGTAGTCCTGGCGAGGATCCGTACCACTTGGCAGGCGTGTGTGCAGTGCTGAGCGAGTGCACTTGAGCGGGGGTCGTATCATTGAGGAGTCGTGTGTGCTGCGCTCTGCTGGTGCACTTGAGCAGGGGTTCTTATCATTTGGCAGGCGTGTATAAAGCAGCTTTCTCGTCGTCATTGCCCCTGTAGCTTGAGTGAAGATGCGGAGAACCCGTTTCAACAAAAAAAGACGCTCTGAACATACAAAATTGACTGGTCATTCCCCAATAATTCTTAGGAAGGTAAAACAACTCAACAATCACTAGGACAAACAAAAAGTGTTCCCCCCTGAAGTGAACACGCGTTGGTAAAACCATCACGAGCACCACGCAGAAAGCTCGGCTTCGATCGATTTTTCTCGCGCCTCCTCTGAGTCTTCAGCCTCAACCTCCAAACACCTGGCGACGTGTCGGAATACACGGTCCCATACACGGTCACCCGGGAACACGCCCGTGGGAGTGGCTGAAAGAGCCAAGCGAACACTGAAATGGGACTCTAAAATGAAGCTGTCCTTTTGTTTCCTGAAAAAAACAATTCCAGAAAGGGTAGCTTAAACAAATTTCCCCAGAGATTGTGCCAAATCCCTCCATCCGGAGTAGGGGTAGATTCACCAACTGGGTCCCTCAAAGTGATCTCGATGTGTTTCATCTTTTGTGTGACGGGTGCCCTTGACACAGCTTGAAACCACCATGTCAGGGAATTTTGAGAATGTCTTGTTTACTCGGTTGCTTTCTGCTCCCCTACTAAAAAGTTTAACTTTTAATGGTTTAATGGAAAACCCATTTGCTGGCAAAAAGTTAAAGTCCTAACATCCAAGCAAAATGCACCAAAGTTAACATTGCCCCGGGTCAATGCTTCGGACACGCCTTCAAAGCACCGGTGCAACGAGGCGTGTTGGACGAACCCTTCGGTGCAACGAGGTTCACAGTCCACAAATGGGTGGGGCCTCGTTTTACAACGGGCAAAAGAAAAAACAAGCCATTTGCGGGGTCCCAAGATTTTGAGACAAACTTAAGCGGAGGCAATGTCAATGGGCACAATCAAACCATGCCTATTTGGAAGGTCGATGTGTGTATGTCAAGGTGTGTCAACACACCTAAAACCGCCAAAAGTGTTGCTTTCCTTTTGATTTCCCTTATACCAACCCCTTAAAGAGGTACCCTCAATAAGCAAAGTCTTTCATCAACGGCTCTGCGATGGACAGAATCTGCAAGCAACAATACCCTTATTCCTTGTCACATGTGTATCCATTGCCAGGAACAACGCCGATGTTGACAGTATCTATCCTACAAATGGGTTGGCAAAAAACCTGTAGATGCTGGCCGGAAACAAGCGTGCCGCACACTCAATCAATTTTCAGCACCTGTTGAATCAGTACCCGCTTCTTGTGCTACTTCAGTCGATCAAACATCTGTTGGCGACACAAACTAATGTGTAAAAGTGGTGGTTGGCCTTCTTAGTTTCCCTTTGACACCGGGAATGCGCACAATTGATATGTCAAGCACGCCGATTCTTCATGGAGCCCCTAAGGGAGCTATGGGGAGGGGGGGGTTATCGCCTATTAACCCCTTCATAAGGCCTAGTATGGAGATATTGAGGGCTTATCCTGAGCTAATCCTGGCATAGCCCCCCCCCATACCCCCCTTTTAGGAGTCCATGAATTCTTGGCAGCGCCTGCTGATGCCGGGGCCGCGCAATGCCTTGCCGACCGTGCGGTCGGGCAGTGCACTTCGCTTGAGACGCCTGTCACCTACAGGTAAACGAAAGGAAGAAGGCCACCATTTGTTGCCCCCCCCTCCCCCCCTCTCATGCTAACTTTTTCGGGCCGTGCAAGCAAAGAACAGAGTGGAAGCCAAGAGGTCAAACAAAAAAAGGGCAACTGAGTCAACCTTGGAGGCTCTTGGAGCATGCCAGCCACATCTCTATGATTATTTCCTTGAGCACTGCTTCAACTTGTTCATCCTTGCTCACATACCAATGGCATGACTCACACAACAGCTTGCAGTGACTGTCCTCTCAGTCCCCTTTTTATGCAAGTATATATATATATATATAACCATCTCATGTTGAATGCTCCCTTCTCGTAGCTTACCGACTTACTCCATGGTTCCTGCGCGGTTGAAAGGGCTGAGAATCAATTTGCTTGGCCACCATCACCAACTTTAGAGAAAAGAGTGCCGGATAATCCTTTATAGCTAAGCTGGTTTTCCCCCCCAGACCCCCACGCATGCTTTTTATAGCTGGGCCCAGATGGATTGCCGCATTGGGTCATTACACCAGAACCCACTAACCGGCTCACCGGAGAACCACAATTCACGACTGTTATCGGGAGCCCTGCAAGTTGATTCGCTTGTCCACATGTAACGATGAAGCAAAAACAAACACATCGTTTTGGGCAGAGATCGCATACCGAACAATGCCATACATCCACAAGTGACAGTCCTTCCCAGGGTGGGAAGAACTCAAAGACCCGAAATGACCCCCTCTACAGGGACATCAAAAGAAGTTTGCTTAAAGCATAATGATGGGTTTAAGCACAGGCTTTGCCTTTGGTTTCCCTTCTAACCAACCTGAAAAGAGCAAGCTTCTTAAAGCTGTAGTGGTTTTTTACCGCGCGAAGACAAGCACCACATTGGGAACTCGGCTTTTCTCGGTGATCGTTTTTCTTTTTGTTGGTTTCTCGCCTGCAGGATGCCAGGCTGATGCTCTTGAAGATCCTGAGCAACCCGAAATCCATTCCCCCAGGTAGCCCACAGTGGGGTAAGGCTTACCCTCCCACTACCCTCCCACGTAACATGGAAGTGCACGCCCCTTCGAGGAAAGTGTCTTTCTGCAGTCGCACTTTCATGGAATCCTCGGGAGGGTAGTGGCGTAGTGGATTAGTCGGGTTGAGGATTCACTCTTAGATGTTCTGGCTCAATGGGGTTCACAGGGGTTTCACCGCCGGTTCATTCGGGAGTACTCACCCAGGTGAAAGTCAGCTTAACTTGCTCCCGGGGGCAACTCTTAGGGCACATCCCCTGCATCTTGTTGGAGCTCCAAAGCTGTCCTGTTTTAAGGGTGCCCTTTTCAGGGTTGGTTTCAAGGCAAAGCCAAAAGGAAACCCACCATTTTTGTTGCGTCTCTTTTGGGGTACCGCTCCCCACTAAATGGGTTGGCTTTCCTCTTGGTTCCCCCTTAAAGCCACTACAACGGGAAGGGTCCCCCAACCTACAGTACTAGCCGCAACCGTTACGGACACCATTGAGGGAATTGGACACAGGGTGAAGCCAACCTTGAAGAGATTTGCGAAGCGATGATGGGCTGGTCTACATGGCGACAAAGAGGCCAACCACCCTATGGACAAACCCATGATGTGGTCAGCAGCAAAGGACAAGTTCTTTTGTTGGAGTGACGGAAACAAGGATCGACCGCCGAAGTCTTATGACTTGATCTCGCCGCAAACGCCACAAATCCAGGAATTTGCAAATACTCAAAAAAACAAGTAAACAACAACTCAATATGGACAACTCCCAATCTGGGAAGGCACAAAAACTCAGAACCAACTCAGAAACCGAAATCAACTGTCTTGATCTCGATGGCCCCACTTTAGTTTGAGGCCGAGTCTGGAGCCGAGTTTTTCCGCATTTGTCTGTCTGATGTGTTTTGAGTTTTGTTTGTGATTTTTCTCCAACAGCTGAAAGCTTTGGGGTCTCAGCCCAGATAGGCTCTGGGGTGGTCCGGGGCGGCCCTGCGGTAAGGTTCCACGAAGGTTCCATAGTCCCTTGTGTGCTTTGCTGTTTTCTTCGTGTTTGTTTGAGTCTGTGTTTTCTGTGTTTTCAGTTGAGGCTCTTGGCTGAGTCCCTCCTGTCTGAGTTCGTCTGGTCATAACCAAAATCAGTCACACGTGCGGCGACTGTCTCCCGCTCGCGCAGGGTTCCGCTGATTGAGATCAATGAAGCTTGGACGCCAAGCACTGCAGCAGTTGCGGGAAAACACGTGAAACTTGGCCGTGAAGCTGAGTGCACGTGCACGCGAACACGGGCGTGTGCTCCGGCGTATGAATGTGAGTGGTGTGAATGTGAGCGAGCGATTGACTGATTGGGTGAGT